GCTGATAAATGGTCGCTACTGACAGGACCAGGGGAGTAAATCTCCCTTGCTTGGGAGGTATAGCGGCCGATGGGCTAGGACCCAGCCGATCGGCCATTCTGATCGGGGCAGCAGGCTTAATGACCTTATCCCTGATCATTATCTCCTCTTCTAGGGCGGCATGCTTGCGAGCACTGTCTAATACCTCGGCGTATGCTGTACCCGGATTTTTCTTCAGATCCTTGTATAACTCCCCCGTTCGGAGAGCGTTCGTGAATAGGGTAATGGCGGTATCATCCGTCATGCTTCCTACTGTCAGAGTTTCATCCCTCCATCTCTTCAGAAATTGATTGAGGGTCTCTTTGACGTTCTGCTTCACGCTGGTCAGATAGCTGAAGTGCCGTTTGGGATTGGCACTGGAAGCAAACTGGGCGGAGAATAACGCCGATAATTCGGCGAAACTATTGATTGACCCAGGTTGGAGTGTCCCGAACCACTCCTGGGCAGGCCCTCTGAGCGTGCTAAAAAACAACCGGCAAATAGCAGCCTCGGGTGCTCCTAGCAGCATGAGTCCCCCTTGGTAACTCCTCAAATGCACATGGGGATCTCCCACCCCATCATAGATTTGGCCGGTCGGCGGCTTGGCACCCCCTTGGATGTCTGCATACATGAGTTCCCTGGTGAAAGGGGAAGTAATTCCCAGCTGAACGGGGGCAGGTTGTACATGCGCCCTGTTCATCTGGTCCCGCATCTCATTCATCTGCCTCCTCATCTCGGCCATTTCTTCCTCCTGGGCCGTCAAAGGGGGCGGTGGTGGAGCCCTCATGTCCGTATAGTCCCGGTCCCAATGCCGTTGAGGGGCCCTGGTATTCTCCCGCTCGGCATACTGGAAATGATGACCAATGGGAGTTGGTCCTCTAGCTTGTGACCCGATCGGGGTTCGATCACTGGAACTGTGTTGCGCTGTTGGTGGGGCGCTACGTCGATTATCCCGATGGGCATGCGAACGGGATGACGCTGTGGTTGTTTTCGTGCGTGGAGTCTCCCCTGTAAAGTTGGACCCTCCTTCCTCTTCGTTCGCCATATGCTGCATGACCTGGGCCATGTCTCGCATGGCCTGAGGATTTCTTCTCAGAGATTCGGGAATAACAAAATCCCCATCAAAACGAGGATACGATCCTCGACTGGATTGTCCCTGAGGGTTTTGACTCCCCCGGGGTGTGACTCCTTCCGTGACGGCGTGAACCGTCGTTTGTATGATAGGAACTGATTCTGACCATTTTTGAAAATAGTGTTTTTTTGGATGATTTGAATGTGAAACTTTTTGCAAGGTTTCCCACAGACGGCGCCAATGTTGAGGGTAAATCCCGTAGATCCGAAAGCCCAACACGAACTTTGGATATATCAGGAATGGCACAGAATCAAGGTGTATAAACAAAATATAAAATATGAACTCACTAATACTCGAAAGCTCACTTGTATTAACTAACCAGTCTGATTACAAGGAATTTCCCGGTCGGTGGGTCGGAAACAATACTTTAATACAAGAAATAAGAGCAATGATGCTATTCTAGAGCCTTAGTATTGAAATGCTAACCCTTACAATGACTTAAAACCTTCTATTTATACTAATGGAGAGCATGGGCTGCCCTATGCTGATTGGCCGTTGTTCCACCGACTTGGTCACCCATGTTTCCACTTGCTGATGTCACAATCTGGCATTAATTGCACCTGGCCACTTGCCGGTTGGCCATTGCTCGAACGGGATGTTGGGCTATGCTGAAGATGCTGTCAAATTGGCCCAAGTATAATATATAGTCCGAACTCCGTTCAGTATGTCTTCTTACTGGGCCAACCCTTATTTGGGCCGAATCTCGTTCGACATTAATTCTACCTTGATTATGACATCATAGAGTGATGGACCCGTTGCTTGGGCCGGGTATCTTGGGCCTTCTTGATCCGGGTATTGGGCCTCTAGGTCAATATCCCAACAAGCCCTTTTCTTCAATATAGAAATCAAAGTGTTGGAATCACTACCATCAAACGTTTTACTCTTTTCAGATTCTAGAACATTATAAGAAACACATTTCGTGAAACCAAGAGCACTAACACCACCTGCCTGTTTTTGAAGCATACGGTGAATATCAGAAACCTTTATCCCACCCTCCTTCATCAACATAATAAATTCAAGATACTCATGATCAACACCTCGATGTGATTTCAGAAGGTGTCTTTGACCAAGTGGACAAAAAGAATGGTTGTGATCAGTAATATGCTTTGAAACGGTCCATTCACCATCAACACTAATAGAAAACTGCAGCTTTGCTTTACAACCTGAACGATAATCTAATTTCGTATACATTTTGTTTTCGGTGCCCTTTTGTAGTTTCTTCCCTTCTTTCCAACAACAATAAGACTTCATAATCAAACTTGCATTGTCACTCCTAAACCTCTGTTTGCATCTTCGAATACCCAATCCATTTTCAAAAGCATGATTGTTGTAAAGATTAAGCATCCTGTTTAGATTTAACACGGATTCCAACAAGTGATTTATTCTCAGTTGCCTTGTCAACATTTGTCAATGTATCTAACAATTCACAAAGTGGATATATAAAAAACAAGCCACTCTACAGAAGATACATACAATTGAATGCAAGTTACATATTGTTGATCATAACTTACATAACTTACATACACTTGAACAAAAGTTACATTTCACTAAACATAAAGTTACATAAAATTAACTGAAGGGATATACGATAGTTACATAATTTTGAATCAAACTTAAATATAATGAATTTAAGTTACATACGACCACACACGAAGTTACATAATAATAAAATGTAGTTACACACGACATACAATAAATTACATATAGTAGAACTAAAGTTACATACAACAAAACAGAAAGTTACATAAGCTTTAGCGCAAGTTACATACATTAGACAAGAAGTTGAATAGATATGAATGTAATTTACATATTATTAAACATTAGTTACATAGATATAAACAAAAGGTACATCAAACTAAGAACCAAATTACATAAGACTAAATTATCCGGCTGATCACATTCAAAACTCAAAAACTTTAATGTTTACCAATGATTTCGACATAAACCGGCTGATCACATTCAAAATTATTGTCACCGGATGAATGAATCACGTTATCATGTATACTAACAGGAATAGAATCTCCGAATTCAATTGATGAATTCACAATAGCTGAATCATCTAGAGAGAAATCCATTGAAGGAAAATCAGAATCGTAAGCGCAGTGAATAGAAAGAAAAACGGAAGAAAGAAGTCGACTGCAACAGAAATCAATCAGAAATACGAATATAAGAACCTAATTTTTTTAATAAAAACGACACCGTTTTGGGATCGGCACACCATGCGCATGATGGGCCAATCCCACGGTATAATTTGCAAATTGCCCCCTAGTTTGTGACGATGCCTAACATTGGCGGCGACGGATTTTATACAAACTTTGGGGGCAGCGGATTCCGAGTCCGTATACTGTACAGTCGGCTGTACAGTGATCACTGTACAGTCAGTGGCAAACTTGTAATTTTTGTGACAAATCGCAGATTCTCCTAAATGAGCATTTATGCAAGTTTGATGAGCATCACGTCTGTTCTTTTGAGTATTAGGAGCCCAACGGTGAGTACCAATGATCTCTGCTTCAAACCTTATATATAACTTTTGGTTTATTTTTTTTTTCGTTTAGTATGATACGTTTGAAATGTGCAACATTTTAAAATGAGCATAAAGATGTAGCAAATAAGCATACATAACTTACAAATTGAGTATCAAAATAAAATGCAAAAGCTCATTTGAGTATACTCATTCATTTGGGACTTTATACTCATTTGAGTTTAATATAATGTAGTATGACACGTTTGAAATGTGCAACATTTCAAAATGATCATAAAGAAGTACCAAATGAGCACACATAACTCACAAAATGAGTATAAAAAAATTCAAAAGCTCAATTGGTATACTCATTCATTTTGGGTTTAAACTCATTTGAGTTTAACATAAAATTCATTTTTAATATGCTCAATATTCATATACTCCCTCCGTTTCTGAAACAAGTTCCACCTTTTCTTTTCGGGCAGATTCAAAATTAAGCTCCACTTTCAAATATTTCCTTATTTGGCAAATTATCTACATCAAAACAGTGTCAAACAGTGCCAAACAGTGTTCAAACAGTGCCAAACAGTGCACTCCACAGTAAAGTCAAATTTATTTTCTTAATATGTGTGAAGTCAAATGTGGAACTTGTTTCAGAAACGGAGGGAGTATGTATGTTCATGTTTTTTAAGCTTATACTTATTTGAGTTTAATATAAAACTCATTTTTATAATATTATGACAAAAACGTAATAGATTTTGTATAAAAAAATTGTGGCAGAGCAGGCCAGTAATTAGCAGATACGGAAGCGTAGCCAAGCATCTCTACGTCGGCCAAGCATCTCAGCCGTGAGTTGCAGGGGTAGAGCCGTCTCTGCGTCGGCCAAGCATCTCAGTCGTGAGTTGCACTTGGAAGCTTGGCTATAGGTGATCTGCGTTCGTGAGTTGCACCTGACTTTCGATCTGCCGTCCTTCTTCATCGTTGGTGAGTTCCAGAGCTGAATCGGAGGAGGTTTAATTACAAAAAAAATCCGGTTGTAGCTGAATTGATTATGAAAATTTTGGTCCCACCTGAATTGAAATGCTAGGTCTGCCCACAGAAGCCAATCGGCGGCGCCATTTGAAGGCTCGGCGGCATGAGCGTTCGTATCTTCCTTGAATTTCTTACCCGTCACTGTGAAGAAACCCATCCACCGTTTGAGAAGGATACCCAGTCCTGCAGCATATTCCTAAGTCAAAACAATTTGTAGTGGAATATAAAGCTGATCAACATACATAGCCAAATCTCTCTCCATAAGTAAACTAATCTTCCTCAACTCGTTTGGAAATAAAGCATCTGCAATGGTTAATACCCCAATGGTTCCTCCTAACGCGGCGATTGGCAACCAGAATTTAGATGGAGGTGTGCCTGCACCGCCGCAGCCTCCGGGGACGGATATGACCGGGATATGTTTTAGGGATCAGCTATGGCTGAACACTTACCCTCTGGACCGAAACTTGGTGTTTGATTACTTTGTTCTTTCACCTTTTTATGATTGGACCTGCAATAATGAACAGCTCCGCATGCGCTCTATTCACCCCCTGGATGTTTCTCATTTGTCGTAAGCTCTCTTTTTCTCCACTCATGTCAGGCTCAAACACATTCCTTAGTTGTCTGTTTTTGATTTTTGAGAAAAAAGAGTGGGTTACTGTAATGAGTACGAGTATAACTTTTCAAGTTGGTTTTCAAGATTTAAGGCTTTAAGTACATATTTCAGCAGTTTGATTTCAAATGCAGAAAAATGACTGGAATTGAGTTCATGCTTACTGAAGTTATGGAGCCCCATCACTTTGTCTTCCGTAAACAAAAGAGAGATAGTCCTGAGAAAGTCACACCAATGCTAACTTATTATGTGTTGGATGGTTCAATTTACCAAGCTCCTCAGCTTTGCAATGTCTTTGCAGCTAGATTGGTTCGTATGTCCCTGTTATTGCTTAATTTAATTGGTGTAAACTTTGAAGCAGCTAGTAATTTTTTGTTTTGTAGGAAGCAAATTACTCTGTTAATCCCTCATCCCTTGAATGCAGTTATGTTTTCCCTGCAGTGAAAAGCATTTTTTGGTGTGCGGTGAACTTAAATCCGGAAACTTGTTTGATCTGGGTGAACCTAAGTGCATTTGCTAAAAGTACTTATTATATGATTATAAGATTAATCTAGGTGAAAATTATAAAAGTTTCTTTGGGTTGAGGTTCTCTAACTCTTAACATGATAAATGCTAAAATTTTAGTTACATGAATATCCCAACATCGGAAACTCCCCGATTAGGTGTGTTTCCAAAAGAGAAATTTCTCTAAATATGAGTAAAACATTGCAAGGAGTAAAACATTGCAAATTTTCTTAAATAGGAGTTAAATTGTTTTCTTCCCAAAACAGGACTCACACACTCTTATTTAGTAATGTTTTTTCATTTATTATTTTAATAGGACTAAATAAGCTTGTTTTAGGAAGAAAACATATTTGGTCCTATAGAATTTTGCCTATGTTTTGGTCCCATTTTAGAATTTTGCCTATGTTTTGGTCCTATTTCGAGTGATTTCTATTTCCAAAACTCGGTTTTTTGGAGTTTCTCCAAATTGGCACCAGATTGCCCAAAAAGCGAAGCTCTTGTCATCAGAATACTTCCTACTTTCTTGTTTGGGTGTCTGGGAATCAACTGTTTTATTTTGGGAAAGTAAAACTGTGAAGACATGGAGGAGAGGGAATGTATTATCACAATATGTAGCAATCGGATATGCGATTTCACATCCTCTCAGAGATGTAGCTTCTTAATTTTATAGAATTACGATCATATACTTATCCACTCTTCCTGGTAGTGTATTAATGTGAATGGAGGATAGCCAAGATTCCTCCACATGCTGCTTGTGTGCTGCCATAGACCACCATACCTGCCATTCTTCACAAATTTCATATGGGAGTATGCTATATTTCTGCCGCTGACATCCGTCATGACAACATTCAGAAACAGTTCTTTTCAATCGCGTCAAAGTTCCAAATGGAACCTTAGCTGTTAATGATTAGACATTGGGAATTCTGGACTCAAACTAACAGCTTATTTTATTGAAACGACTTTGTGTTAATCAAAGTGACTTTGTCAGTGTTGTTCATCTTGAAACTCACTTTCCTTTGGTTCCTGTTTCTGATAGGGGCGGGCTTTATTTCACATATCAAAAGCTTTTACCTTTGCTGCAACAAAACTGGAGAAGATTGGATATGGTATTTTCATATACTTTAGTCCCTTATATATTTTTATTTAATCATTCTAATATTTTCAATACTCAAATGATATGATTTTGATCACCTAGATGCTAGAGGAAGATTTGAAAATATATATTCAGGACGAAAGAATTAAGTGTATTTAAAGAGTTTTCACTGAAACTTTCATTTAAGCACCCTAACATGAAATACCATCATCATAAATGTTAGTGGTACCACCCCATGTACGAGTTAACTAGTTAACTCGCGAACTTGACAACATCTGAAATTGAGATGAAGGCTTAGGGGGTGTTTGGATCTAATTTTTAAAACTGCTTCTGCTCCTCCAGGGAGCAGAAACAGAAGTTGGAGTGTTTGGGTGAAAGTGCAGAAGTGATTCTAGTGCTCTAATTTACTCCTAGAATCAGTTTTTTTAGAAGCTGGGGGGACCAGCTTCTCAAAACTGATTCTGATTCTGCTTCTACTTTAAAAAAGAAGCAGAATCAGAATTGGTTCCAAACACCCCATTAGTTGACTTTCTTTCTTCAAGTCTTGATTACTTCTAAATAAGCTAGTCAAGAAAATCAAACTAATTCATTTTTGTTTTCGGATACGTGAAACTTGAAAGAAGGAATCACGAACCTTGATAACCTCCTCTTCTCGCATTTCTAAAAAATATTTGATTTTTAGTTGTTTAGTGAGTGTCTTTGGGTCATTCAGAAACAGTCTCTCCCTGCTTTACTACAGGAAGTCTGCGTACAACTCATGATGATGAGTTGTTTAGTGAGTGTCCATTGAAAGTTCATTACTATAAAGAATCAAGGGTAGCAGACTTTGATCGTTATTACTAATTCACGTAATGTCTCCACTTGTGATTTTGAAGGGACTTCTAGGACACCAATTTTTTTCTCTGGTGATGAATTACCATAACGTTATATTGCTTCTAATGTAAAACTTGGAATGGGGGGGGGGGGGTCTGTTTAATTATGCTTTACATTTTACTCGCATTTGATATTTTTTATATATTTTTGTAATCATGCAGTTGATGCTGAAAATGAGGGTGGGCATGCTGAGAAAAAGGTCCCCAAGGAGGCTATTGACTTCAAAGAACTTAAGCGAGTAGACCATATTCTTGCTTCTCTACAACGCAAGGTGACCTTACCTAGACCAACGAGCACTATGTGTTCCTTTGTATGAATATGCATAATATAGGTGAAAGGAATATCTGGCACATGTTGCATGGTTCCCCAAAGTACTAGTCTAAGTAGTCTTGTCGATTTTGCCAATTGTTCACGCCCCTGGCCCAGCCCAAATTTTAAAATGTCTATATTTTTAGTGTAAAAAATTCCGTGTAATTTTTTTTAATATTCTTTGTACCGGCCCAGTCCGGCCCAGTGCTCTGGCTCCGCCCCTGATCATGGCCCAAATATCCTCAGTGCTATGTTCAAAAGAACGAAAAGGGAAATGTTCTGTTTATTTTGGTGTCAACTTTCAGCAGCAAAATGACATGTGACAGAATATCATTTATAATAAGAACCCGTTCTAACATTTGAGGACCTGTTTTGCAAGGTTTTTTGGCTAAATATGCAAGTTAGAAGCCAGTCTCTGCTTACAAGCAAAATATGCCACATCTAGGTAGCGAACAAGGACATTTGGTAGCCCCCTTATTATGCTTATATAAGCCTGCCAGCCAGCTTTTTTACTAGTCTTGTCAATTTTAATAAACCTAAAAGATATATTTAAGTATAAACTAAGGCCATTGAATATCCTCTTCTACAGGTCCCTCCATAACCTGCTATACAAATGGACCACCCTTGATGGCATGTTTGTCTCATTCTCATATTAGTTACTTTATGTTTTTTACAGCTTCCGCAAGCTCCTCCGTTGCCTCCATTTCCAGAAGGCTATACACACCAGTCAACTGCAGAAGGGTCAGAAAACCAGCAAGCAGAAGGCCAGCAGCCGCCTCCACCTGATCCCATCATCGACCAAGGCCCTCCTTCCAAGAGGATGCGAGTTTGAATGGTTGCTGTTTTCTTGTGCCCAAAGCAACCTAAGTTAGCAATCTGCACGGTTTGCCCTTAATCTTAACCTATGGAAGTAGTTAGGTGAATGAGTTAATCCTAGCTAGGGGTGGACCAGTCCAGTTCTGGTCTTGGTTCCGGTTCCAAGAACTGGTCCTGGTTCCCAGCCGGTTCCGGTTCCATTTTTGTTTTTGATTTTTACATATTCAATACTTTGTATGTTTATTTTTCTAAAGAATGATCTATATTGCAACTTTTGTTGACCATATAAATCTCTAAATGTTATACTATACATCATAATTGTATAAATTTAGTTCTAAGGGGAGTAAAACATGAACTACTCTTCTAGTGGCATATTAATATTTCAACGTTAGATACTTGAGATCAATGTATACATTATACTCATATTGCATCATATAGATGGATTGTTATGTTTATAAAGAATAAATCATGGAAACTGGAACAATATTCTAGTTTTTTTTTTCATTTTCTTTGCAAATCATTCAACCATAAATCCCACTTTTCACAAATCTTCTCCAAGCGGTCGCGCGTATCATTTTTCTTTTTTCTCCCTAAAATATTTGCCTTTTTATTTTTATTGTCTTGACTCTTTTATTATCCTTTTTTTCTTATTTTTATTTCTTTTCACTTTTTTTTCAATGTTTATGTATTCCATTTTTCCTTCTTTTTCTTCTTCCCGTTTATTATATCATTTTCATGCTTATATATTTTTTCGGATTAATTTCGTTCTTATAAAAGATCTTTTTCTCACCGTATTAAGTTTTTACTTTAATTTCTTTTCACTTATCTTTTTCTCACCGTTCGGGGAGGTGGTCGTGGAGTTCTTAGATCTACCAACTTTGGGGTTCTCTCAGGTGCGGGTACGTTCACATTTTGACGTCTCTGTATAAATCTGTTGCCATCATGCTCTTCATACTGGAATCGGTGCCCTACCGGTGTGGTTCCTCTGAACTGGGACCCGATCGGGGTGCGATCACCGCGAGTGTGCTGCCTGTCCCCAGGCGTGTGAGCCCTTCGTTGGTTTCCCCGATGAGCTCGTGAATGGAACGATGCCTTGGTTGTTTCTGTGTCAATAGTCTCCTCATCGGATCGGGGAGGGGGGTGTACATAGTTTCAGCGATGTGGCTGGATTGCCCTCCATCCTGCTCATCCGCCATTTGCTGCATTACTTTAGCCAGATCTCGCATGGCGTGTGTAACACCGTCCCCAAATGTATTTATCTTTAAGCGAATAATTTATTGAACCCTATGAAATTTTTAGTGAATTTACGAGGTTGTGAATTCGTATTAATTTTTTCGCATGAATAGTAAAATGCACGTGGGGCCCACATCGGGAGTGGGGACCGCCCGATATTATCGAGACCACATATTAGATTCATCTGGGCCTAGAAAATATGTATATGGTGGTGGATATCCTAATTGGTCCATAGCAATGGCACAGGGTTGACCGGTTGGTCAAACAAGGCCAAATTATCGGTATCGGCAAATTTATCAGATAACAGCCCAAAAAGGGATTTCAGAGACTTCTAAATTAAGGTTGGGGAATGCATATTGATTCTAGGGTCCCATAAGGATTGGGAACAAGTGTTATATTTTATTTGACCCGATAAAATAAAATATACCTAAAACAGTCCGAAAAATACAACTTTCGGGATCGATTGTACACTTCTGGACAAAAAGGGTTGACCTCCCACATGGGTGGGGGCCAACCCACGAATTTAGCCACATTATTCAAGGCTTGAGTCGGCTGGTAGGTGAGGTGAGGTGGGAGAGGACTGATTTGAGATGTTTGACATCAAAACAAATCATGGTGGCCCTCCTCTCTTTCACTCATTGCCCAAATAGAGACAAAGGGGCATTCCTACCCATCCCCCTCCTCACTAGTTCGGACAACATCAAGGGAAAGGAGGAAAGAATCTCTACAACTTCATCTTTCATAGCAAAATTCGAGCAGAGCTCAAACAAGAAAGTTGGGAGGAAGTTAAAGAAGGAAAAAGCTAGGAAAAAGTGTGAAAATTAAGGTAATGATCTTATCATAACTTTTCCTTTGTTTTTCTTCTAGCATATAAGATATATATCATATGAAAGACCTTTAGTATTGTTCTACATGATTTAAGTGTGGAATAATGGGTTGGAAAGTGATTCTAAGTCCAAAAACTGACTTAGAAGCCAAATCGACCGGTTTGCCGGAAAATAACCTTTTATAGGTTATTTGTGTTGATATGGGTTTTGTGATGATAAAACCTTGTTAGGAACTTGATTTAAAGTATTTTTGAGCTTCGCCGGAGTTTCGTCGGAGTTGGTCAAAGTTCACCGGAGTTGGTCAAAGTTCGCCGGAGTTGGTCAAAGTTCGCCGAAATTAGTCAAAGTTCAATCGAGAAGCGTAGAACGCGCTTAAGCTTAATTAAGGTGAGGATGACCGACTATGTTGCTTATAATCTTTGGGTTAATCTCATGGGATTTCCTAAGTGAATACAAATGTGATGTGCATGGGTTGTTAATGGTTAATAATGCCTAAATAAAACTACTATTAATTATAAGTATAGTATGCATGATACACAAATTTATGAATAAATTGTGTATGTTTAGATGTTATGAATATGTGTGTATGATGGTTGTACCAACCATGAATTTCATTTGAGATAGTATACTTTGATACCATGAGGAGGAGCCATGAAGGTATGAAAGTGATACTTGATATTAAGGCCAATCATGCATGAAGGAAGAATTATATTGAAATAAATAATAACTAGCATTGAAATATTAGTTGGAAATGTTAGTTGAGAAATGGATGAATTAGATCCTAAGAATGTGAATTATAAAGAATCGGTGATTATGAGCCGGGCTCGGGACTGATGTAGATAACGGTGACTATGAGCTGGGCTCTAGACCGTAGTAGATGACGGTGATTATGAGCTGGGCTCTAGACCGTGGTAGATGACGGTGATTATGAGCGGGGCTCTAGACCGTAGTAGATAACGGTGATTATGAGCTGGGCTCTAGACCGTAGTAAATAATGATGAATTGATACTAAATGAACGGATTAACTATAATGTAATAATGCTCTAGATTGAGGGCCTCAGAGATTTAAACTTCGATTATACTTACTATAGTTGTCATTGTACTTGTCAAATGCTTCCAAGTACTGACCTCCCCTTCACGGGGGAGGCCACCTCACAGTTTCAGGTAGGACTTGAAGGTCGCTACTACCAGCCGCTGTTTCGGGAAGTTTCTGAGAAGAAGGCTTGGTTCGTGCTTCTTCCGTTCTTGTTTTGAAAACAATATGAATAATGCTCATGGATATTATTTTCTGAATATACATTTCGGGGGTTTGTATACCCATGTTTGCCAAGTGTGGCTTGTACACTTGTAATGTTGTTTCCGCTGTTTTAAATGAATGATTTACATTATGTTTGTTTATGGATGTACTATGTGTGAATGATATTCATGACGCCTTGTATAGTATGGATGAGTTGGACTGCGGTTGACTATTCGTACTGTACGGCGGGTTGTTGACGTGTCCGGCTAGGTCCGGGGCGTGACAGCGTGGGGGTTTCTTCTAAGTGCCGGCTTCCATAAATGCCTGACCTGGGAATTTTCTCGCAACTGAAAGCCGCCCGGCTTTGGCGAAAGCCGCCCGGCTTTCGTCGGGCCTAGGAATTCCTGCGCTGCTGAAACCCGGCCGGGTTTCGTATAAACCGGCCGGCTTCGAAACCATTCCCTGAATAAAAAACTACGGCGACGAAAACCGCCCGGTTTTCGTAAAAGCCGCCCGGCTTTCGTGATTAAATACTTGGAATTATTCTCGCAGTCGAAAAGCGGCCGGCTTTCGTGAAAAGCGGCCGACTTTCACCAGGGTCGGTCCCAGAACGGTTCTAAGGGTTAGAAATCGGGAATTTTCGGACGGGTGTCAAACGGACCCCACCCGAACCACGACCAACATACTCTACGACTTAAGAAACAAGCCTATTAATTAGATAGTGTGATATACATTACTTATGAATGTAGGAATACTAAAGATAAACGGGAGAGACGCAAGGATCCTTATTGATACCGGGGCGCAACGATCATTTGTGAGTGAGGCGTTCGCCAGCGGATTCAACAGACCACTTGTACCGATGACTCAAACCCTATTGGTGTCCACGCCTCTAGGGGATGATATCGAGAGAGATAGCCACTATCCATCGTGTGAGGTGGAGGGACAGAACTTGACGTGTGATTTCGTACCGCTGAGTATGATCGAGTTTGATGCAATCCTCGGGATGGATTGGCTTGAGAAACATCATGCTAAGGTCGATTGCTACACGAAGATTCTTCAACTCGAAGGCGGTGAAGGGTTGACCTTACGCTTCGAGGGAGATAGAGGCAAATCAAACAGTTGTATCATATCCGCCGTGAGGGCGAGGAATATGATGAGAAAGGGATGCCACGCATACCTAGCGTATGTGGTGGACAAAACCAAAGAAGAGATAGACATCAATGATGTGAGAGTTGTGTGCAAGTATCCGGATGTCTTCCCAAAAGACTTGCCGGGACTTCCACCCGATAGGGAGATTGAGTTCGTGATCGAGGTCGAACCTGGTACCAAACCAATCTCTATACCGCCATACAGAATGGCACCCGCTGAACTTAACGAGTTGAAAACCCAACTGCAAGAGCTATTGGATAACGGTTTCATAAGGCCGAGTCACTCTCCGTGGGGAGCACCGGTCCTTTTCGTGAAAAAGAAAGATGGAACACTTCGAATGTGCATTGACTATCGTCAACTGAACAAGGTCACAATCAAGAATAGGTATCCCTTGCCTAGAATTGATGACTTGTTTGATCAGCTCCGAGGAGCGACGGTGTTTTCGAAGATTGACTTGAGGTCGGGGTACCACCAACTGAAAATAAAGGAAGATGACATACCGAAGAGTGCATTCCGCACAAGGTATGGTCATTTCGAGTTCCTAGTTATGTCGTTCGGGCTAACCAACGTCCCGACGGCATTCATGGACATGATGAACCGTGTATTCAGTGAATACTTAGATCAATTCGTGATAGTATTCATTGACGATATTTTGATATACTCCAAGAGTGAGGAGGAGCATGAAGATCATTTGAGACTTGTACTTGAACGGCTAAGGGAAAAACAACTCTTTGCCAAGTTCTCTAAATGCGAGTTTTGGCTCAAAGAGATCGGGTTCCTCGGGCATGTCGTGTCAGGTTCGGGCATTGCGGTGGATAAAGCCAAGATAGAAGCCATTATGAATTGGGAGAGACCCAAAAACGTGAAAGAAATACGTAGTTTCCTCGGCTTAGCAGGATATTATCGTAAGTTTGTTGAAAAATTTTCTGTATTGGCGTCTCCATTGACAAAGCTCACAAAGAAAGGGGCCAAGTTCATACGGGACGACAATTGTGAGAAAGGGTTTCTCGAA